CCAGCCGTCCAGATTACAAGATATAGTTGCCCCAAGCCCTAAAAAAACTCGCTGGGCTCGGGTTTGCTCGGGTTGAGCCCCGAGTTCACCCTTAGCTGCAAGGATCTGTGGTTATGAAGCCGGTCAAGTGAAAAGTCCGACGCCAGGAAAGGCAAGGTGTGGACCGAGGTACCTGTTTGCTCGGCAGGTAGATCGCATACCTAGAAGCGTGAGTTGCCTCGAGCTCGGCTTTGCAGAGATGCCGTCGAGTCCGGTCCTCATCTGAGCTTAGCTGTTGGAGTACTTGGGCATGAAACGCAGCATGGCAGACGATGGCCGAGATGATACTGCTCGGCTGCCGAGCTCCCAGGAGAATGGGCAGGCAGTTGGGTTAGGTGGTGTTCAGCAAAGTTTATGCTGACAGATGGGATAGCAGTGCCACGTGTTGAGAGGTCACTGGGAGTAGATTTGGGGCGCAGAAAGTATATAGGCATGTCTGCGCCCCCCATACGTGAAGGATGTACATTTGGTAAGAGAAACACTTAAACATAATTCTCTCCCTTCTCTCTATCTATCCCCTGGTGTGTGTTCTAACTTGACCGTCGGAGGGGTTTTCCGGCCACACACCGTCGGGTAGCTCACCGCCTTTGTGTACGCAGGTGATCGGATAGAAGCGGAGCTTGAAAGAAGGGAGTACGGGCTCGCCTGAATATTTGCTCCTCGTACAGGGTAGCTCACCGATTCTGGTATTGCCGCAGAACACCTTGGCAGTGCCTCAAATATCTCGACAAACATGATCTGCCCACGTAGCACCTCGGCTAACAACCTCAGTCACGTGGACTACCCAAAATATATGTCTCCACAATTATCTTATATAAAATTATAAATCCTATCCACCCCAACAGTTCTTCTAAACTAACCAATAACTTCTCTTTAATTATCTAATATAAAATTCTAAATTATATCCACTCTAATAACTACAATACATATAAAACACTATGTGGTGCTCCTCTAAGCCAACCAATATAAACTAAGGGTGCAACTCGGGCAGGTTCGGACGGATTGGGAGGTTGTCAAAGCCTAGCCCAAGTTGTGCTGAAACCTGCCCAAGACCGCCCAAGCCCGAATTGTAACCCGAGATTATTTGCTCAAGTCCGACTCGAGTTAAACCCGAATTGCCCGAGTTGTCCAAATTGTAAATGAATTTCAGTTTTTTTATTTGTTTGTTTGTTTGTTTATTTTTGTTTTTGTTTTTGCAATTACATTATTAAATTATTAAAATTTGACTCTATTTACAATTTTTTTTAATAGAAAATTATTAATACCATCAAAATAAATAATTTATATAATGTAAGAAAGATACCACTATAGTAGTTCTTATAATTTATGAATGAAAATAAAAAGAAAAAAAATAAGATTTTATGTTATTTGTATATATAATATATATTCAATATGATTTAATAATATAAATTACTTTAATATCATGTAATGACTAATAATTTATATGTATATTTAACATTTTTATATATTTATATATATATATAATTCAAAATTCAAATTGCTCAGATTGAACCCGTCTAAATTACACCCCTAATATAAACTAACCAATAACTTCTCCTAAAATTGTTTGAGACGTCAGTGTTATTGGGTAAACCAAAGAGAAACATTAGAGTGAACCAAACATATAGATTTCTGAATTTACGATGTAGTCTGTTTATTGGCCGTCTTTAAATTCCTTTGACTGCCTTGATCACTTAGGCCTCCTTTGTCAAGAGATTTTTTTATTAAAAAAATAAAAAAGTCAATAATTTATATAAAATAGTTAAAGAATTTTTTTCTCTCTACTTTTTAAACATCTTTTCATAAAAAATCAAAAAATTATTCTAAACGTACTAGTTTTTTTTATATCATATTTTAGTCAAAAAATTAAAAAGTCACTTAAAAAAATATATTCCCAAACGAGTCCTTAGACTCCGTATGATTTAATTTTAAAATTATAATTTAAGTGTTTAAATGAGAAATTGTGAGTTAAATTTTAAAAAGGAAAAATTTATATGATTTGAGAAAAGTTTTGAAAAGAGTTTTTAAATTTTAAATTTTGAAAATTTTTTTGAGTTGTATTTTAAATTTTGAGTTCTATATTGAAATTTTTTGGATTTATTTTTTAAAATATTTAAAAATGTTTAAGAAAATTTATTTTTTTATTTTGAATATATAATTTTTATTTAAATATTTTATTTTATTTTGTAAAAATTTAATTTTTACAATATTTTAAACTCAAAATACAACTTCACACTCAAATTGTTACCAAATACATAACTCCAAACTCAATTTAAAAATTATTTTCAAAACTCATAACCAAACACATATTATGAATTTTGAAAATAATTTTTGAATTGAATTTTGAGTTACATATTTGGTTACAATTTGGGTGTGGAATTGTGTTTTGAGTTGAAAATAACTAAAAAATTAAAATATTTAAAATAAAAATTATATATTTAAAATAAAAAATATTTTTTTAATTTTTAAATATTTAAAATATTTAAAAAAAATACAACACCCAAATGTATGAAATACAGTGCATATTAAAATAAAAAAATAAAAATTTAAAATACAAAATATTTATTCTAAAAAAATAAAATTAATAATTTTTTTAAATATTTAAAAAAATAAAAACAAAAAAAAATTCAAAATACAACTCAAACTTCTTTCAAAACTCATAATCAAACATATTTCTCTTTTCAAAACTCAACTCAAAATTGTAACTCAAAATACGACTCCACACTCAAATAATGATTCTAAAAATAATTTTAAAAAATAAAATATAAAAATGTTTTTTTGATTTTTTTTTTTAAATAGAGTTTTGAAAATAGTTTAGTTTTTTAAGTTTTGAAAAAAAGTTTTGAATTGAATTTTAAATTATGTATTTGTTGGTTTTTTGGCTTTCGAAGGTTATTATTGTAATTGCGAGCGTGCCAGCAAGGATCAATCAGTCTTTACAGAAAATTAATTGCCAACCAATTATTAGACGATTGCGTTTTAGTTCTTTCTGCCTCAACGGAGAAGACTTTTACTGGTGGCTTGATTTAAGAGAATTAAGCAAAATAACAATTAAATGAAGAATAGTTGAAGTATTTCATTAACATGAAAAAACTTACAATGATTCAAACTTAGCCTCGTAGAGGTTTACAGTAACAATCTACTTGAAACTACTCCTATAAACGAAGTGCAGTGCAGGAATTTAATTTAAAGTACAGAAAATGTAAGACTGGAAATGTAAAACTGAAATAAATATAATAAGACTGGTTTTTTGGATCTGAGTCTGAGAGATTTTTCTGGGGCCTTCTCAGTTATTTATACTGCTCAAGGATGACCATCGAACTACATTTCTAACCGTCGAACTGCTCCTCCATGATCATTGATCATGTTGCCTCAAGATTAGCTCCATTACGCCATTACTTGCAGTTAGGCTTCCTTCCTAAATTTGAATTTCAAATGTGAATAACTGTTGAAGTCACATCACCTTGCATCTCTTTGTTGATCCACTGCTACTCAAATCTTGTAATAACTAATACTAATTGCCATGTGTACGATCAGATTCGAAGACTTGAATAGTCTTCCCATATTATCCTTATTTTGCTACGCGTCAAATTGTAATTGGCTTGTACAAAATATATAGCCAACAGTATTTAGTTATGAATTCTGAAAATAATTTTTAAATTAAATTTGATATATTTAAATTATAAATTTTAAAAATTTTTTTGAAAAGTTTTAATTAAAATCATAATTTCAAAAGAGATATATTTTCTGTTGATTTTGTCTACTAGTACTGGAAGAATCTAGGTGACTTCCAAAGGGTACAGATTGTTTTCAGTTTTCAGTCTAAAAATTGAATGGGAGAGCGAGTGGTTCTGTTTTAATAATTCCAATCATTTATATCGTAATGTTTTTTTTTTTTTTCATTTTTTTGTGTAGTACTTTTAAAAAAATAAAATAAATTTAATAATCATAACATGTTGAATTTATTATTTGGCAAATGTATTTAAAAAAATATATATTTTTGTAATGAATGTAATAAATTGAACATATTATGATTAAATTAATTTAATTTTTCTTTTCATGGTTGATGTATATTAATGAATGGTTAATTACAAAATAAATGATTTGGATAATCAAAATGAGTGGGTGTTTGGAAAATGAGTTTTTTTTGTAGATTTTTTTAGTTGTAGGATATTATTAGAGAAAATTTTTTTTGTGCTTAGGAAGATAGTTGTGTTTTTTTGTGATTAAATGCGATGTTTGTGAGAAAAAAAATAAAATGATTATGCGATTTGATGTGATATTTTGTTTAGATTTGTTTCTTTTGGTTTTGTAACCAATTTATCTTCTAATGAAAAAAACAAAAAAAAAAAAAATACAAATATTTTTTTTTTTATATTTCCTGAAATCAATCGTAAAAAATTTACATGAAATATTTTTGTAAAAATTATTATAATTAATAAGTGCCCTCTCTAAATTAAATTTCTGGCTCCGCCACTGGACGAGATAACCCCTACAATCTATATATGAATTGATAGGAAGCCCAACCCAATTTGAAACTGTCATCCAAAATGACATTATGTTTGGTTTGGTTTCATAATTTATTTTTTAAAATAGTTTTGAAAAAATAAAAATTAATTTCACAAAAATAAATAAGAAAGAAAATTTTAAATTTAAGCAAAATTTAACTTTTTTAAAATTATTTTCCCTCAAAAATAGAAAAAGAAAAAAGAAGATCATATGCAAATGATTGCTGTTTATTTATTTATTTATTTTCACCAAATTAATTTTATTTTATTTTCAAAAACAGATTAGGAAAACAAAATCAGAGTGGTTTTGAAAAAGGAATTGTTGCTTCGACCAAGTAATATGTTGCATGCTTAAAGTTATATAAACAGTTTGGATAATCGAAACAAACTTATCTACCCTTACCATACCATTTTTTGAACACAAATTTTGTATTAATGATATTCATCATCAAGTGGTGCAGGAAATATTTTTAGCCGGTTCAGAAACAACTAGCAGCACCATCGAATGGGCCATGACAGAACTCCTCTGCAACCCAAAGAAGATGATCAAGGCCAAAGCCGAGCTCATTGACATCGTTGGACCCAATCGAAAAATGGAAGAGTCTGACATCGACGGTCTACCATACCTGCAAGCCGTGGTGAAGGAAACGCTCCGTCTACACCCTCCGATCCCATTCCTAGTCCCTCGAAAGGCAATTCAAGATACCAATTTCATGGGCTACCACATACCCAAGAACACCAAAGTGTTGATTAATACTTGGGCGATTGGAAGAGACCCTGAATGCTGGGACGACCCTATGGAATTCAAGCCCGAGAGGTTCTTGGACTCGAAAACCGATTACAAGGGGCAACACTACGAGCTGATACCGTTTGGAGCGGGGCGGAGGATGTGTGCCGGTGTGCCGCTAGCTCACCGGATGTTGCATTTGGTTTTGGGCTCATTGTTGCATGAGTTTGAGTGGAACCTTAATGGTCAAGTCACTGCAGAGACTATGGATAGAAAGGAGAGGATGGGAGTAACAGTGAGGAAATTCGAACCACTGATGGCAGTGGCCAAGAAGAATTAATGTGGTGTGGCAATGATCTAATTTGATTAGAAAGATTTAGTATTGTTATGAAGTCCTTTTTGTTTTAGTAATGCTTATTATAATTTTAAATTGTAGTATTGGATATGCATGGGTATTAATAGTGGTTGTTTGTCTTTTTCTTTTTTTATGGCTGGGGGGGGGGGGGGTTTTTTTATGGATGGTGGGAGTGGGGATAGGGGTGGGGTGGGATGAGAGGCTCATCCAGTATATGAGTTAAGGAAGAAAAAATGAAAATACAAAATATATAAATAATTTTTTCTTACAAGTCTTCATTATATAATTAAAAAGGCTAATTATATTTTTAATTTTTAGACTGCGAATTGTGTCATTCTAGTCTTTCAACATTTTAAATTTGTCAATTTTGTTATTAAAAGTATTAAATGTGTGTTAAAATAGTCTCTATGACTGACAAATTTAGTATTCATCATAAAAATTGGAATATTTTTTAAACAAAAATTACATATCAACCAAAAAAAATGATGATCATACCTATAAGAGTTTTATTATTATTATTTTTTTGGGAAAATACCAATTCAGTGTGAATTTAAAAAAATAAAATTCAATTAGTATTAAAGTTTATAAATTTTAATTATTAAAATATAAAACTGTTTCATCAACTTATAATTATTTTTAAAAGATGAGACTGAGGTTAATTTTCCCATTTTTTTCCCCTTAAAGATATTACAGATTATTCTAATCATGAATACTAATAGCCTCAGCTACATGAGTCCATTTTTTGACGCTATATTATTAACACTATCTTTGATATGTTGTTTAAAAAAAAAAATAATGGTAGGTGAGAGGGAGATTTCATAATCTGGCTTTAGGCTGTGGTAATGACCTGACTAAAATTGGTCCGAGCAAGTTTGGATCGAGCTGGGCTAGGCCAATCCAGGGGCAGTTCGCTTGGTTAAAGCTCAGGTCCGATTTGGCCGGGATAACTTCTCTGCCAGCCCGGTTCACATTGTTTGCTCGTTGAGATCGGCGTGTAAGATCCTCCGCAGACTAGCCCAACCGAGCAAGAGCTCGGTTCGCGTTGTTTGCTCGTTGAGATCGGCGTGCAAGATCCTTCGTAGACTGGCCCAACCAAGCAAGAGCTCGGTCATAACGGAGGGCTGCTAAGCTCGGTCATAACGGAGCTCGACTAGGAGCATTACATGTCTCGGAAGTAATATGGTCGTAGGAAGATGGGGTAGAGCTGCCGGACTATCCGTTCGCGCCAACGCCGTTTGGCAGTTTGGTTAGATGGTGTTTAGCTGTATTTGCGCTGACACATGAGAAAGTGTGATAGGAGAGCAGGTCCACGCGTCAAAAGGCGAATGGACGTAGAGGCATGCGTAGAAGGTATATAAGCGTAACCGCGCCCCCCATGCTGGGGATGGGACATCTTCTGGTAAGAGAAACACTAACACATTGTCTTCTCTTCTCTCTCTCTCTGAGTGTGTGCTGACTTGACCGTCGGAGGGATTTTCCGGCAACGCACTGCCGAGTAGCTCACCGTCGTTGTGTTCGCAGGTCGATCGGAGGAAGGCGCAGCTTGGACACGAGGAGTACGGGTGGTACCGGATATTTGGCTCCCGTACAATTGGCGTCATCTGTGAGAAGCTTGAACAGACACAACTTTGCCCTCCAAGCTCATCGGATCACCTTCCATGGTAAACAACGAGGAAGTACCATTGCCTGTCATCGATGGTATTACCCCAGAGTCAGTTCGATGGAGAGACGGACTTCCCGTCGTTCCAAACATGGCAGGCCTGGAGACCTCACCAGGAAGACTTCCCAGAGATATGCGAAATAAGCGCGCCAGAATCATTGGTCACTCGCGAAGTCCAGACAAACACCGGCAGCGAAGAAAATCGTACGCTCAATGCCTGGAGCACAAGTTGAGGGACCAAAACGCCGTCATCCAGGGAATGGTGGCAAAGATGAAAGTTCTCAAACGGCAAGTCAAAGGAAAGGGTGTTGTTGGAGTGGGTGACCGCAGTGAGCGCACCCAACCCCGCCGCTCAGACAGCCAGAACAGCAGCACACACCCTCCATTTCTATTACAAGAAGCTATGGGGTTGGAGACTCAGACCCGCCTGCAAAAAGTCTTGCGCGCAAGATAGTAGTTACCATCCCTCACGTTCGCCGACGACATTAAGATATTTCTACTCCTCCCGTTCGGAGGACTTGAGGGACGTCTTGAAAGAACAAACGCGCCGACGGGAGGTTCAAAGGGTGCCGGCGCTCCAGCGGTTATCCTACGGAGGTCGCGCCAGTGAAGAAGTCATAATGCCGCTGCCCCGTTCAGTCGTGCCTGTCCCTTTAGACAAAGATTTAGCAAAGCTGAGCGCCACCCCCTTCTCCCTTGAGATAGAGACCACACGGCTCCCAGCGGGCTTTCACCAGCCCAAATTTATGCTTTATGGTGGAAAAACTGATCCATACATGCATGTAAGCCACTTCCGACAGGTTATGGCTGGATATAGGCGTAATGACACTCTCATGTGCCTTATTTTCCTGTCGAGTTTGGGCGAGTTGGGCTTGAAGTGATTTGAGAGGCTTCCGAAGGAAAGCATTGAAAGGTGGCAACAGTTGACGGAAGCATTCGTGACTCGATTCAAAACCAACACTAAAACGCCAAAGGAAGTTGACCACCTCCTGAGCGTCAAAATGGAGTCAGGCGACTCCCTCAAAGCGTACAACGCTAGGTATTGGGAAACATTCAATGAGATCCTAGATTGCCCGACCAACCTGGCAATCACCCAATATAAGCGCGGTCTCCCGATCGGACATAGACTGAGGGACTCGTTCACGATGAACCAACCGACTTCCATGGAGCTGTTGATGTAGCGCATCAATAAGAACATCCGTGTGGAGAACAATGTGACGGCGTCTACCGCACAGACAAATCAGGTGGCAACGGATAAGAGGGTGGCTAGAAAAGTCCACACGGTCGGACAGGAGACAAACCGTCCACATGATCGCACAAGGGAATCAGACCGCGGTCCGGATCATAGAAACCGGGGTAAAGGTCGTCGCAACGACCGAACAGATTATCCCCGCGATGAGACAGCAGATACAAACAAAAAGTTGAATGCTTGGACGGGCATCACCACAATTTTTAAGATTTCAATCTACCGCATACTTAGTGAAATCCGCGACGAGGTTTACGTCCGGTTTCCCGCTAAGTTAGGCGACGCGCAAAAAGGCTTCAATTCACGGTATTGTTGCACATTTCATAGGGAGCGAAGGCACCGGACGGAGGACTATTTGCCTTTAAAACAACACTTGGAAGAGTTAGTTGCCGCCGGTCACTTGGACTGTTACATCGATGGGGGCGTTAGGGCCGCGTACCATGCACCGGCTGAACCTGAACCAAGTGGTTTGGACGACCTAGAGGCATCCCCGGTATAGTAGAGCTGGCGCGGGTATGCGAGCTCTGAGGGATGATCAAAAAAGCGAAACATATGAGTGAGGTTTTGTCAGTCCAGCCAGTGATCAAAAGGGGCAAGACCGAGGAGAAAAATGTGCTTAGCTTCTCAAGCAGAGATCTTGAGCGCATTTAAACTCCGCACAATGATGCTCTGGTGGTCACCCTTTGCGTCAGGGACTTCGATGTTAAGTGCATCTTGATCGACCAAGGCAACTCGGTTGAGATCATGTACTACGACACCTTCAAGCAGCTCAAACTCTGAGATACGGACTTGGCTCTGACAACTTCACCACTGGTTGGTTTTAACTCATAACCAGAGTGGCCAATGGGAAAGATTATCCTACAGGTCAAAGTCGGATTCGTAGTCAAGCAGGTGAAATTCTGGGTGTTGAAGGTGCCGTCCACATACAATTTGATACTTGGTAGGGGATGACTTCACGCTATGCAGGCGGTGGCGTCGACCTACCACCAGGTTATGAGGTTCCTCTCTGCTACGGGGGAAGTTCAGGAGATTTAGGGTGATCAAGTCATGGCGAAGCAGTGTTTCGTGGTAGTGAATGGGAGCCGAGCAGCCAAAGGCTTCGTGCAAATGATCGAAGGTCCAGAAGACCAAAATGTCCTGGATGATGTAGGCATTAGGGCCGAGGAAAAGGCTGTTAAAGAGTTGGTAGAGGTGCGGATCAGTACAGAGAATCCTGACAAGTTCTTTTTGCTGGGATCTAGCCTGACCGTCCAAGAAAGGAAAGAAGATGGTGGAGTTCTTGGTGGCGAACATCGAAGTATTTGCATGGACGCCATACGACATGTCAGGCATTGATCCAAGCTTTATTTGCCACCAACTCAATGTTTTCCCGGACGCTCGTCCGGTCATTCAAAGAACGAGGAGATCAGCCCTTCATCACGCCGAGGTAGTCGCGGAGGAAGTCAAGAACCTGCTCGAAGCTAAGGCAATCCAGGAAGTGCACTACTCTCGGTGGGTTTCGAACACGGTCGTAGTACCCAAGAAAAATGAAAAGTGGTGAGTTTGCATTGATTACAAGACGGTCAATCGAGCTTACCCTAAAGACAGCTTTCCACTGCCCAAAATAGACCATCTAGTGGATCTTATAGCCGAACATAACTGGCTCAGCCGGACTTCTCCCCCTCACAAGTCCTTGACCTTTCGCAATGTGGAGGCTGGACATAGTGGGACCACTCCCAACAGTGCCAGGCAACCAGAAGTTCTTCATTGCGGCGACAGATTACTTCACCAAGTGGGTTGAAGCCGAACCCTTAGCGACCATCAAAGAAAAGGACGTCAAACGGTTTGTTTGGCAGAACGTGATAACGCGGTTTGGCGTCCCCAAGGCTTTGATTTATGATAATGGCACCCAATTTGACGGACGGCTGTTCAGAGGATTTTGTAAGGAATTGAAGATAGAATTCTACAATTCCATCCCAGCCTACCCTCAGTCCAACGGCCAAACTGAAGCATCAAACAAGACCATTCTAGATGGGTTGAAGAAAAAGCTGGAGAAAGCCAAAGGCAAGTGGGCCGAGGAACTTCCTAGTGTCCTCTGGGCATACCGGACGACCCCGAGACGCTCGACTGGGGAGACTACTTTTGCCCTGGCATATGGCATGGAGGCGGTCATTCCATTGGAGATCGGCATGCCCACCATCTACAGCGAAAATTTTGAGCCCGAGTTGAACTTTGAAGCCATCGCCCAGGAATTGGACCTAGCTGATGAACGTCGAGAAAATACGTTAATCAACGTGGCCGTATATCAACAAGAATTGTCCAGAAAGTACAACAAAACAGTGCACCCCAGAACGCTTAAAGTCGGGGACTTGATTTTAAGGAAGGTGATGGGCAACACACTGGTGCCAGGCGAAGGCAAGCTTGGGGCAAACTGGGAAGGGCCTTATGGGATAATCGGTCTAGCGAGCAAGGGAGCATACCACTTAGAGGACTTGGATGGCAAAAGCATACCCCCGCCATGGAACGCGACTAACCTCAAGCTGTATTATTTTTAGTCTTTGTCTTTTGTGTGTAATTTTTTGTAAAGGGACAAGTTTTTCTTTTATTTCTAAATGTAATACTCCATTTTCCAATGTAATAGAAATGAATTATTTTTGCTTAAGAAGTTTGTTTTGTTCGAAGTAATATAGTGAACGAGGGGCAACCGCCTCTAAAGCTGAGATGATTTACCTTGGCTAAAAGGGTTGATGATTTGCTCAACTCTGGGGTTTTAGCCGAGATGATTTACCCTGGCTAAAAGGGTTGATGATTTTCTTAACTCTGAGGTTTTAGCTGAGATGATTTACCCCGGTTAAAAGGATTGATGATTTGTTCAACTTTGAGGTTTTAGCCGAGATGATTTACCCCAGCTAGAAGAGTTGATGTTTTGTTCAAATTGAGTATATTACCCGTGGCGTTTTATCTCGGCTGATGGAGTTAATGATCTGATTTGCTCAACTCTAGGATTATAGCCGATGTGTTGTTCCCCGGCTCGTAGAGTTCATGATTTGCTCAACTTTAGCGTTTTAGCCGAGATGTCCTATCCCGGCTAGAAGAGTTGATGTTTTGCTCAACTCGAATATATTAGCTAAGATGTTCTATCCCGGCTAAAGGTGTTGATGTTTTGATTCAAGTAAATTAGCCGTGGTGTTTTATCTCGGCTAATGGAATTGGTGATTTGCTCAACTCTAGTTATAAAGCCGAGATGTTTTACCCTGGCTAGAAGAGTTAGTGATTTGCTAAACCCTAGCATTTTAGCCGAGATGTTTTACCCCGGTTAGAAGAGTTGATGATTTTCTCAACTCTAAATAATTTTCGTTTGTTTTTAAAGACCGAGATAATTTTCTCAGTTCAATCAGTTTGTAACACGTCGGGCAAGAATAACACAGTTAAAAGGAAAACTATGGCAAACATTGCAAGAGTATAAGCGAAATGTGAACTTTTCATTGATTGGAAAATTTAGTACATATGGTGGGGCTTGTAGCCCAATTACAGGAATTCAAAAAGAAATCAAAAAAGACAAGTCTAAACTACGCTAACAGGGAGAGGTCGGCAAACTCATCCTCGGCTCCTTCGGTCGCGACCTCTAGGTCTACAATAGCAACCTTTTCCTTTTCGCCGAGCCCCTTTTGGCTACCCTCGTCCTCGGCCTCTTTTTTCGCCCCTTCTTGCAAAGCATTGAAGACTTCGTTGGCATAAGGAATCAAGTAGACCGACAGGAAGACGGGAGGAGGAGAAGCGAACTGTGATACCCCTGTTCCGTAGTATGCTAATCGGTCCTTAATATGAATATGATTATGTGTTTGGTATGATTTTGTGTGCCATTCATGTGAAAATATGTGGTTTTGAATTTCTATTTATTCACCGTAGGAATATCTGTTTGATTATTTGCTTTGGAATTTAAATTAAAGGCCATATCGGCCACAGAAATCAAAATTGACTACACTATGGTGATTGGCATAATTTTTAGAACCTACGGTGAAATTTAATTAAAAATTGATTCGGATCAGATTAATTAGATTAAATTAATGATATAGTGCCCAATTATTTAATATTGGTTATTGTGATTAATGGGGCTTATATAAAAAAGAGCCACTTGCACTCAACTTCTCTTTTTATTTCATTTTGGCTGAAATCATCCTAAGGAGAGAGGGAGGGGCCGAATTTGAGAGAGGGAGTGTGGAAAATTGAGGTTTTGATCTTGAAGCTTGAGTAAATTGAAGACCAACTCAAGATTTGACCATAGTTTGGGAAGATTGAGCTTCTAGGTGAGTAGTTGATTATGAATTCATGAGTTTAATTTTGTAATTTTGTGAATTCAAAGTTGAATGGTGATCAAGAGCATGAATTGAGTTGGTTTTGTTGAATTTGAAGTCAATAGGTGCATGCATGTAAGAAATTGCTATAAATTTCCATGTTTGAGCATAAAGTGTGTATTCCATATTGAATTTTGGTTGAAGTCCATGTATTTGACCATCTTTTCACCAATTAAGTTGAGAATAATGAGTATCTCCCACATGCATGTGCAAATCATGGAGGTGTGAGTCTTGAATGTTTGAATTTAGCATGTTGATGATGAGTTTGGGATAATTTGAGTCATGCATGTAAGTAATTCATGGAATTGAGCCTCATAATGTTGTAAATTGGTGTCAGTGCCATGTTAGTAGATGTATATGTTAAGTTTGAGCCATAATATGCAAGAAATGTTGGTTTGAATGTTGAATTTGAGCGCAAGAACCATTCTGGAAAACCCAGAATTTATGATGTCCGCTCGAGCGGGGAAACCGCCGCTCGAGCGGGAAATACGAGCTCCCAGTATTTTTTGCAGACATGACGTCCGCTCGAGCGGGGAGCTATGTAGACCGAGTTCGCGCTCGAGCGCCCAAACTCACGCTCGAGTGTAAAATTGATGTAACCAGCACTTTTGCAGACCTTATGGGTCCGCTCGAGCGGGGAAGTCCACGCTCGAGTGGGGGACCCCAGTTTCTGAAATTTTGTAAATGCATTTTGTGTTTCGTTTTCCGTTGTCTTTCACTTCTAAGCACTCTTAGGCATGCATTGAGCATTGTAAATGAGTTAAAAGAATAGGAATGAAGCCTAAAGAGGAATATGTGAATTAAGAACGGATTGAATTGTTTGTGACCCATATGTGTTTTGTGATGTGTAGGGTCAAGCTCTAGGGCAAATCAACCAACCGATCACTGTGAGTAATATCTTATCAAAGATATCTGAAATGCGTTGTCTGTCCAATTGCTTACTTCTATGTAAGTTTTATAAGTTCGTTAGTTTGGATGGTGGACAATGTTTGTGTTGGTAAATAAATGGGCCAGAGACCAGTTTGACATGAAAGTATGAATGGGCCCGAGGCCATTTTGACATGATTGAATGAATGGGCCAAAGGCCAGTTTGACATGAAAGTATGAATAGGCCCGAGGCCAGTTTGACACGATGAAATGAATGGGCTAAAGGCCAGTTTGACATGAAAGACCGAGTAGGCCAAAGGCTAGTATGCCATGATTGAATGAATGGGCCAAAGGCCAGTTTGACACGAAAGAAAGAATGGGCCGAAGGCCGGTTTGAATGAAAGTATGAATGGGCCAAAGGCCAGTTTGACATGAATGAAAGTACGAATGGGCCAAAGGCCAGTTTGACTTGAATGATACGAATGAATTGGGCCCGAGGCCGTATGATATATTTGGAACCGTAATCACTTGACCTATATTTATATATATGTTAGATAGAAATACGAATTGGGCCTAAGGCCGTTTGAAGCACGTTGTTCTAAATACCATTTGTGTAACTTTTTTATTTGATATTATTCACTGGGCTTTTGCTCACGCTCATTCATGTGTTTGTAGGTGAGCCAAGAGAGGTCCAAACCCAGTCTCAGTGAAGTTTGGAAGGAACAACCAAGTTTTGAAGAGTCAGCCGTGGCGTCTCATGCACGAGACTCGTCTCCGCCTTTTAGTTATCCTGTTTTATTTTGTCACGTTAGCGAAGACTTTGAATACATTTGTATATAGTTTTCATGGGTTGACTTAGACTTGAATGATCCTGTCTATACAGAACCTTATGCTACTGTATTTTCTGCAGTGAGTTATTAACATGCATATGTATGGTTTGTTATGACGTGCCATGTAAGCACAGCTCTATGGACAAAGTTTTAAATTTTGCTTCTGTTTGGCCCCTTTACTCTGACGAGTTATGTCTGATTTGGTTTGAGGCCGTAGGTAATCTCAAGATTACTGACCGGTTATGTCCTTAACCGGACTGGAAATAGATGTCCTTGGTGGCTTCGACTTGCTCAGTGCAGTTGTCCTCAGCCTCCTTGAAATCGAGATTGTTTGCCTCATCCATGGAAACCTACTTCGTTTGTTTTTGGCTGCGAGTTGGGCCTTTAGTTCATCCATCTCTTGCTCGGCCCTGTCGAGCTGGCCAAGAAGCCTAGCGTTGTCGGTGTTGACCATTTCAAGTGAAGCCTTAGCCCGGCCAAGCTCAGCGGCTTAGCTTGGTGACTTTATGGCACAGGTTCACAATTCGGTCTATGACCATGTGCTGTTTCTGGATGGCTTATAACAAGAAAGATGTTAGCCGAAATAAGAAGACTAACTGAGCAAAGACTTGGGAAGATTTCGAAAACATACCCTGGTTATGGACTTGACCGCGGATTTAACGAGCCGGGTGTCAGGAACATGTTCGCTCTCGGTCACGTCGCTTGGTAAATGCAATGCCTTCGACAAGTCAAAGGACAGGAGGTGCTCCTGGTCACCCTTCACAGACGCGGTGGCCAAGATTTCTTTGCCCCGGTGTTTGAACTTTGGCCTCCACGGTGCAGCCGGCTCGGCCTCTGTAGATGCGCCCGAATGTCTCGGGAAAATCCCGTTTTGTTCATTAGGCTCACTACAGTTCGGACTCAAATGTCACGGTTCTGAATCTAATCTCGCAAAGTGCAATGCGAGATTGATAAATCACCAAAGAGTCCAAATCTGGCAAATCGTTTTGAAAAATTGATTTTTTAGAAAGAAGCGTCAAACATGGATTGCTTTGCCAGATATAGAGTCGCCACCTAAATATTTTGTTTTGGGGAATTTAGGAAACCCTGACTCGTGCCTAAGGCCACATGTCTGTCATCACCAAAGTTGTCTCGGCTCGAGAACTTGGGTACGATTGGGGAAGGTCATGCGATGAGTACCCCCACTCGCCCGATCAAAGATCGGCCTGTACTAAGCATGATATCTTGTTTTTGAAAACACATGCGATCTTATTCCGGTTTATTAGCCTAGAATTGCTACGTGATGCGCACAGCATACAAGTATAGATTGGATCGTCTAAGTTGGAACAAAACATCTCATGTTTGTTTTTGAAAGCGGTTTGCTACTCGTAAGTAGGCTAAAATGCTGATTTTGCCACCCTCAAGTGGGCTTAGAAAACATGGTGATTTGCCACTCTTAAGTGGGCTTTAAAACTCGCAATCAATGAATTGTTCCAATTTAAATAATCCAACCTTCATCCACAGGCATTCAGGCAGGTATATCACATAAGCAGTTAGCCTCATGGCAAGCATGCTATCATGGTAGTCACTCACACACATGCAAGGATTCTAAAGCATAAACACTCACCGAGTACTCCAAGCTCAAAACAGAAACTAGTTAGTAATCAATGCATGATCCTAGTTCATGTTAAGATGGCTAATGCAACACATGCAAAATGCAACTAAGATAGGCTCGGCTATTCTAAGATGGCATATGAGATGCTACAGATAACATGTATTCAACTCGGAATTGGAATACAATGCAGTTAGTATGATGCACCGAGCCCGGTGCATGCAAGATAGATGAATGAATGCAAACATGCGAAGCATAAGGATGCTAATTGAAACATGCCCTAAAACTAACCATCGTAAGCTGGTAAATAAAAGGGAGAAAGACGTGGGGTTGGAAGACATGCAGCACACACACGCACACTTATTACAAAATTTGCCCTCTCAACGGAGGCTCTGAATAAATAATACAAAACCAACTAGCTAACCTAAGCTAATCTAATTAAACTAGTTATTACACAACGAAACGAATGATAAGTTACAACTAATTATTACACATCATTAACTAAGTAAGCAATCTAAATGAGCATACAAACTAAATGAATGTGGGCTACCTTAGCTCTGCTTTGAATGACGAAGGACCCATGCATGCTTGAATTCCCTTGTTCGGAAATCCCTCGTGACGCCCTAACTTGCCTTTGTTTGCAATTGATCTCAGAAACTTGCACAAAGCTCCAGAGAGATGAAACTCCACCCTGGGAATCTGTGGGAAGGCCGCCAACCAACTTATAGGCATGGGTGGGAGACCAACTACCGACCACCTTTTGTGGTGGAAACCAAAAAAAGTTGTCGGCCTGCTAGTAAATCTGGTCGGCCGACCAGTTTTCTCTCCTGGTTTCTGGTTTTCTGCAACAAAGAGAAAGAGAGAGGCATGACAAAGTATTTGCAACACATGTGTGCACGACCACTCTCCCCATCATTGCATAAGCTCAAGGGAGTGTAGTCCTCGACCCTCGGGCCACCAATCACGCATTTCGATGCATGAAGGCCGAGGAGCTGAATTGCACGACTTAATGTGAAATGAATGCACATACAAGCACCTAAAGCCAACAACTCCATCATGGGTAGTCAAGAGTGTCGGCGACCGAGAATTGAGGCACGTTTCATCACTTCAAGTATGAAACATCCCTCATTTCCCGTGTTCAGACTAACTCCTATTCCAAACACAATGCAACACATAACATGGCATGCAGCAATGCGACTCTAGCATGTAATCCTAATGCAATGCAACTAAGTGATGCAAACATGCAAGGGATAACATGCAAACATGCAACTAGTATACACAATGCTATAGGCTACATGGCATGCACAATGCTTATGGCACTAGCATACATAGTGCACATGGAACTAATATACACAATGAGACGAACAAGGCATGCACAATGCAATGATCAATCATGCGACAACGTGGCATACTCAATGCTATGAACTACAATGGCATACTCAATGAAAAATGGACTTAAACCAAAATGGATGGGCCTCAACCACACCCAAATCAGTGGCCATAGATGATGAAAACAAGGCTCCAAAACTCATGCAAACATGCCTAATGCAATGGCCCCAAGCCTAAGGCATAAAACACAACTTTCCAAACGCATTGAAAAGGATGAAATATGGAGTGCAAGGACACATGTTCCAACTCTGAAATGGCATACAAAATGACTCCAAATGATGTAAACAACTCACACAGTGCATGTTGAATGGCTCAAGCACCGAAACTAGTGAAGTGTATTACACTATAGGCATGCAAGGCAATGCTCAAATGGCCAAACCAACTCCAAGCAGACCCTATGCAGGCCAGAATAGGAGCAAAAGTGAACTAAGATGACGGCTTGAAAGGCAAAAAAATGAAGCTCATGCAATGGCTCACAAATGGGGTACAATGATGCAACTCTCAAGCACATTGAAAGAGTGACAAACATGAGAATATGGCTAAGAAATAAGCTCTGAAATAACATTTCTCATCATGCCAAAACATGCAAATACCTCAAGTTAAGCATGCAAGGGACCTTAAAAACTCAAAGCTAGGCAAGGCTATTACACTACAAGCATGCATGGCAAGCATCATTCAACCAAGAGGCCTCAAAATAGAGCTAAGGCAGCCTAAAATATGAACAAAATCAGTTTGGATCATGGCCAAAATATGCTAGAATAGAGGGCCAAAACATCATGCATTTCAAGCTAGTAAACATGATTTACACTACAAGCATATGAAGCATATGAGAGGCTACCAAACCAGCCAAAAACAGAATCATGGCATGCCAAATGATGGCCAAAAACCCATTGAGACATGACCAATGCATGCAAGAATGAGGTGCTACTTTGATAAGCCATGAAAGGGATTATTCTACACATGCAAGAGGCAAACACAAGGTGACCAAACCATCCATAGACAGAGTCTAGGAAGATCCCAAATGTCACCAAAAAGGGCCTGAACCAAGCCTTGGAAGTATGAAAGTATGTGCTCCTTTGAAAGGCCAAAAATACAAACAAACAAGGTCAAAAGAGAGATGGTTTCCCCTCTCTGGTTTAGGCCCTCAAAACCACATGCCAACCACTGAAAATCTGCTGGATTTTAGTGGCTAAAAGGCCAAGCAAAGATCAACACAAAGGTCTCATGGCATGGCACAAAACAAGTCTAAAAAGAGCATGGAAGAGGGTAGATGACCCTCAACACCAAAAGAGCCTTAAACAAACATGAAAAACACTTAAATATGAAGCTTTTTTCAGTTGACAACAAAGCCTAAATATGCATGCAAGTATGGCTAAGAGAATGATCAAGATAGAGCTTAAAAAGAGGAAAAATGAGTTACCCTTGAAGCTCAGCAAAACCAGCAAGTTTTGGGACCAAAAAACCAACTCTTCAACCTCTGAAAATACCCTCCAAGAACCTCAGATCAATGGTGGAGGTGTATGGCTATGAGGTGTGGTGCAATAGGTCAAGAACAACACACTTTTTGAACCCAAACTGTAGAGATATAGAGAGAGATATATATTTTTGCCTTAGCCAATTTTAGAACCTGTGCAACGGAGAGGGAGGGCCTCTCTTATAGAGGTTTGAAGCTAAAGCTTCCTCAAGAAGATAAAATCTTGGGTGCAAATCCTCCATACACGTGTATGGAGGATACAGTCTGTGCCTTCCAGCTGGCACAACTGGCATCCACACAATCTGACAAAACCGGAGAAAACCAACCGTCCAGAAAAGGTGGTCGGCCGACCACTTTCCCTGGTCGGCCGACCAGTGCAAGTGGTCTCCCAGATAAAAAGTGGTCGGCCAAGGGTATTGGTGGTCTTCACACTGAAAGCAAGCCAATGGTGGGGTGGGAAACTAGAAAATGTGGCCCAAAGACCAAGAAAACTAGTTTCCCGACCAGAAAACCGGCTGGCGGGGAGAAAAGTGATTTCCAAGGAGAAAGCTGGTCTCCCATCCTTGTACCGCCTCTCAAACAAGGAAAACAAGGTTCATGCCAAAAATGAACCAACACGGATGCAAAACGAGAGTTTGGGAGGCAAAGCGTGCGGCCGGGTGCCTCGAAAACTGGCTGTTGAGCACAGAAAGTGGCATGCGACCACAAAAGTGGTCTCTCGGGCCACAATGTCCCTCTAGACAGAGGAAACAGGGTGTGTTCCAAAATCTGTGCCAAACGGAGAATGTTAAGCAGTCCCGAGCCGAGGCGTACTGCCGACGGCTCCGAAAATCGGAAACTAGTCTCCAAACAGGAACAGTGGCCCACGACCACGAAAAGTGGCCCACGGCCACTGAGAGGTGGTCTACAAGACCTCTCCCTCCCTCCCTCCAGGAAGAGAAAACAAGACCTGATGCGTAGACCGAGTCAAAGCACAAAAAGTTCCGAGGCTCAGAGGCAAGGCTCTCAGCCGAAACTTCGAAATCTCAGAACAAGCAGAACATGCACCATCATCGAGCGCTCAATCGATGACGTCTGAGTCTTAAGGTCGGTCAAAATGGGGTGTCTATAGTTGTCCCTCTTTGATAGAACCCGAAAGTCATAAGTGACGAGAGTGAATGCCAAAGCCCAGAGACGATCCATTTTTGACAAGGCCGAAGACTTAGACAAACAGGCAAGATAATTAAAGAGAAGTGGCCGCAGGCAGGGACAGAATGCAAAAGACATACAGGAGGCCGAATATAACTTATGATCATGCAAAGAAAGCTGTAATAAAGCAAATATGCATGATAAATGCAACAATTTAAGCAAGCGAATACAGACCAAACTATATCACATGCAGAAAGGATGTAAGAGAATTGTACAATTCTCGCTACGTCTCACACGGAGAATACAATACCGTCTGGTTTGTCTGGTCGCACCAGCTTCAAATGAACTGTACATACAATATCGTCTAGTCGCACCAGCCTCGAATGAACTGTACATACAATATCGTGCCTGCAAAAGAGAGAAACTTAACAGGTACAACATAGTTAGCAACATATGTTTAACGCTATATTGAACGCGGATACGTATGACGCCGATGAAAAAGTGCATAGCAATGCAAGCGAAACATGCGTGACGACGTAAGTAAACTATGGGTGCATGACAACACCAGTGGAACGTGCACAACAATACAAGTGGTGTGCATAACAATGCAACATCAAAAGCATGCTTGAAACAAAACGCTGAGTAGAGAAGTACGAGCCTTAAAGAGAACAACTCAAACGCGACCTTCGATTTACTTCTCGGGGGTCACAACGTACTCAAAAAGGATACACCTTGCTCTTGGCGAGTAACGACGAGCCACACATCAAAGACTTGAATTGAAGTTCCCGCGGAGACATCTCGCGCCGAAAAGTGCACTTTTCTTGTACTTTCTTGAGAGCCGAGGACTCCAATCATCACCAAAATACACAGGGAGAACCAAGGGACCTTGGAGACTAACCAGGGGGGATGGCCAACCACCTAGAATAGCCACCGACTAGTTTTTGCTCACAAGGTGGTCGGCTAGCCAGAAAAACTGGTCGACCGACCAGTTTACAAAAATTGGGACCATTTTGTCCTTTCAGGTTCGGATCTTTGAGTTGACTTGTCCAAATCACTTTTGCTCACACCTCTAAGGCCGAAATCAACTCCTCTTGCTCCGTCAACCATTTTCCCCCTCAGATCTGCACTTTATACGCGTTTTCCAACGCCCCACGCGAAATTGTTTCGCGAAAACTTTCGATTTTCTTCACTTTGAACCGATTAAAATTTGATTTCGGAGCTTCTTTCTCCACTTTCACCACTTGAGGTATGTTTGTCTCGAAGTTTGGCACATTTTCTCGGGAGTTGATTTTTGTTGACTTTTTCCTTTCTCGAGAGTTGACTTTTGTTGACGTTTTGCAATTTTGGCTCATTTTGCTTATTTTTGCAGATTTCTTTGGATGGCGGATCATTTCCATCACGGGGGAGGTTCTCCACATGCCGAGGATGAGCCAGACATCATGTCATTGCCTCCGAGGATTCAGCCTTCTGACCCTGAGAGGTACGACCCTGCAGAGCATGTCTTACCTCCTGCCACCTTCTATCACTTTATTGACTTTGAACGACGAGCACCCGTGGACCTACTGCTACGGGAACCAGAGTCTCATCTGTCCTACCAGGTGCGAGAGATACGTACCTTACTTCCACATTCTCTACAATGTATTCTGTATTTCTTGCACATTTCATGCTTTCGCTATGTATTTTATCTGTTCATTCTGAACACCTTCACACACCACATGGTCTATTTGGCACATAGCTCATATATAGAAATAGTTTGGTCATTTTAGCACGTGGCTCACAACACAGTATTTTGTCCATTTGGCACACAGCTCACAACACAACACTTTGTTAATTTGGCATGCAACTTACTCTGAACACGCGGCTTATTCTGACCACACAGTTTGTCTCAGGCACACAGCACATTCTCGGGCACACAGCTCGTTCTTCGGGCACGCAGCTCATTTTTCGGGCACACAGCTCGTTCTTTGAGCATGCAGCTCATTTTTCGAGCACACAGCTCATTTTTCTGGCACACAGCTCGTTCTTCAGGCACATAACTCGTTTTTCTGGCACACAGCTCATTCTTCGGGCACGCAGCTCATTTTTTTGGCACACAGCTCGTTCTTCGGGTACACAGATCGTTCTTCTGGCACACAGCTCATACTGAACACGCAGTCCATAACACAGTGTCTGATTTGATTTACACATAGCTCATACGGAACACATAGTCCATAACACAGTGCCTGATTTGATTTAGACATAGCTCAAACTGAACATGCAGTCCATAACACAGTATCTGATTTGATTTGCACACAGCTCATACATTTCAATTTGAAACTTAATACATCTGTTCATTTTGAATGCAGGTATCTTCCCGTTCCACACGGGATTATGGATCGATCCTTGCTATTGAGTGGTATACGGAGCTCCCAGATACTGTTCGCCATATCGTGGACGAGGCGGGATTTGGACCTTTCTGCGCGGAGATATCACGTTACCCGGCGAGTAGGACCCTTATGGGGGCACTCATGGAGAGGTGGTAGGACACCACCAACTCGTTCCACTTTTCAGCTACTGGGGACATGACGATGACCCCATATGAATTTTCTATGTTGACGGGCCTTGACGTAGCTGGCCGACCGGTCCCCTATGACGCGGATATGGACGAGTGGGAGGCGGCTTGGATTTATCTACTGGGAGTCCGCCTGCCGATCGACAGATCATCGAGTAGAGTCAGGTACACCTGGTTTCCTGTGCAGTATAGGGGGACTTCGCCCGAGACTGTCGAGGAGATAGAGCAGTATGCTCGGGGTTTTTGGATGTTCCTCATCGGGACCACTCTGTTCTCCGACAGGGGGAACACGGTTGGACTTTATTTTCTTAGTGCTTTGGTAGACCTATCATATGTCAGCCAGTATGATTGGGGTGGCGCCGGCCTCGCTACCGTTTACTGTTATATGAGTGTGACCTCCCGCGGGCAGGGGAACATAGTAGGTGGCTACTGGAGAGCCTGGAAGGTACATTCTGCCCGCTTGATTTATATTTCTGCTTTTCATTATCTGTACACTGCACACACGGCACACATTACATTCTGTACTCTACATTCTGCACTCAGCATTCTGTATTTTCCGAATCACGTTCTGCACTCGTCATTCAGTATTTTCAATACATTCTGTGTTTTGACAGTCGTTGTCTTGCCTTTCACAGCTATGGGTTTAAGCATACTTCCCGATACTGGCCCCTGAGCTCAAGGTGGAGGTACCTTTTGAGATCCCCTACTCCCGCAGATTTGAGGGTCGGTGTCGGCCGAGGACTCGGGAGACTTTGCCCTACCTCCGCCAGTTCTTTGATACTGTACGGTCGGCGGAGGTAATCCAATACTCTCAGTTTGTCATGTTTTCAATTTTGGTTCATCTTGCATATTCACAACATCTAATCGGTTTATGCACTTGTTATCCGCAGATCTCTTGGCAGCCCTGGGCACCTTTGTCAGGAGATGCCCGGTACTGATTCCCTGGGGCGTGGGCCTCTTCTCGATACAGGACTTTATTTGAGGGGCCAGTTGGCAGGGCCTGGTTTCTGGGCGATCGCTTCATGCGTTAGATGATGGGCAACCCTGATCAGGGTATCCCCTCAGCACCTCCAGATGACATGCGATCCACTGAGAGACTCACTCCCTGGGAGGTCGAGGAGCTTATGTTGGGTACTGATGCAGTTCTATTGCTGGAGGAGGGAGATTACGTGACCTATCGCCATACATACTTGATGCCTCTGCTGCCAAATGTCCGTGCCCCCAGGAGGAGGGCTGCTGACGTGCCTTCCTCGAGTCGCACCCGAGCTAGAGACATTCCTTCAACCAGCGGAGCCGGCACATCGAGGGGTGGGGCTAGAGAGATCCCCCCGACTTATCAGTATGCTGGGTGGCTGGATCTTCCGACCGAGCTGACAGGCTGGCAGTATGGGACATCCTACCCGATTCTATTGGAGCCTCTATTGCCTGATCATTGATACGTTAGTGACCTTGACTTGCCATCGGTATGCTTTACAATTTTGATTTATCACTCAGATTTTTAGACATTCATTCATTCACTGATGACTTGCACTTACATCTGCAGCCTCCCAGAGAGTATTGCGAGGGGTTACTCGGAGTGGTGGCCTCACTCGAGAGCATGGTCCTGCAAAGAGAGACGTAATTGTTCATTGCCGGTGTCTCAGTATTGTTCGATTTCCTTGCAATTATCATACTTCTGATGACATACTGAAATTGAACATTCTATTACATTGGTTGACTGCATGTGTAGAACACATCTGATACACCACATTCACATACTACACCTACAAGCAAACACTCCACGTAACATTCCCACATCTGCATCTGATATACATACTTCGGCTGATGTATTCAAATTGCCCTCTTTTTTTGTTTTCAGATGCCACCGCTACAGGCTGGGCCATCCAGGCCTTCTCGAGGAGCTGGGAGAGGGGGCTCGACTCGCAGCCGAGGCAAGCGTAGAGCGCCTATCAAAGATAATGAGGAGTCCAGCGGGGAGGAGGAGTCTACGCATCCTCAGTCGGAGACATCCGCAGGTAGAGAGGAGGACTCTGGCTCCAGTTCTGAGAGTGGAGGTGATGCCGGGGAGGGTTCCGAGGACGGCAGCTTTGATTTGGATGATGGTGCTGGTGGAGATGGTGCAGAGGCTACTCAGTCGAAGAGGATGAAGAGAGCCTCCCAATCTTGAGCCTGACAGCACTGATACAGATGTTCTTGCTTTATTTTCTTGTTTTTTGTTTTACTAGTAATTGTAGCACATCAGCTTTAGGCAGTTTTATTTTCTTTAAAATTTGTACCCTGTTGTAAAATGTTGTAACAAAAGAAGCTATGATGGAATGAAACAGCTTTTTGTTCAAAGAGTGTTGTATTTTGCATTCTTGGCATCGCATCGCATCATTTTGCACAAAAATGAGATTGAATGGAAATTGAACATTGTACATTGCCAAGTCAGGTACTGAGCCAACAAAGCAAACTAAACAGCCTAACTTACTAAGAAACAACAAAACCTCAGCAAGTTTACAACTCGATAAGCAAACTTCGACAATGTTGATAAACAAAGAGCAACAATTTGATGAATAAAACTTGACAACTCATTAAAACTTGACAACTCGATAAGCAAAACTTAACAACTCGATAAGCAAATACATTTCAGACAAACGAGGCGACAGAACGCATCCGAAACAGAGGTGACCTCGGACCTTTAACACTCCCAACACATGGAAAGGCTAGGAGCTCTCTTCTAGAGACTAGGGAAAGGCCAAAAACCAGTTTTTCTCCATGGCCGACCACCAAAAGTGGCTGGTCGACCAATTTTTTGCTCAGTAAACCAGTTATGTGGTCGGCCGACCAGAAAAACTGGCTGGCTGACCAAAAAAAGTGGTCGGCCGACCAGTTGGCATGGTGACCTCTAGATTTTTGACACTTGTCCCCCTAAACAGTGCCTTATCCTCCATAAAAGTTCCAGCTTCGTGGTTCTCTCATTCCATCTCAGTTTTACATCAAAATGGAGGCATCTCTCATCCAAAATCTCACAACTTGGATTGCTACCTTAGACGGCTCGAAAAAGTTAAACTTCCGAGGCTTCGGTATAAATGCACTATTCACGTTGAGTCGCACTCCACTGCACCTTCCGTTTCTCCATGCCACGGCAAGGTTTTGGAACCCGATAACACATGTCTTTAGTTTTGGCGGGCAAGAGATGTGTCCTACCTTCGAAGACTTCCAAGCTTTGATGGAATCCGAGCGCAACGAAGAAATCATACCCTAGCTTCACTTCGGCCATGCATAAGCCTTAGGGCGAATGTGTGGGCTCACTGTGCATGACGCTCAATCTCTGATCCGCGATGGAGAATTGGACATCCTCAGTCTGATTCATCATTTTTCTGATGCTGGTGACCGCGGTGATCACCACTGGCACGATTTTCGACGTCATGCCCTTTGTTTGTGCATGCTATCTCACTTTTTGCTTGCCCCAGGCTTCAGCGGGTCTAGCATTTGTCTAATCGAAGTTGCCCAAGGCTTGAAAGAGGGCAAGAGCAGCATTGCCATGACATTGGCTGAGACATTGATGGGCTTGGATGCTTTCCATCACCGGAAAACAACCAGATTTGCGGGGAGTCCACTACTGCTGCAAGTAATGTTCCCATCCTTCCTCACATATATATTGCTCACATCACTCGGCCCTCAGGCTCGATTTTTCTCTTAAAACCCTTTTCTCACTTTTCTCTCATCGTGCATCTCTCTATTCTTTTTTCTCTCATTTTCCATCCCTCCCCAAGTGTGGTTGATGAAGAAGTTACAGGTTGTGGACTCTTGTCCAGCATACTCAGCTCGCGGCTACTTCTTTCGACGACGTCTAGTCGATGCCCTTGATGAGGGATGGTGGTTCGACTGGATGTGCAATTTGTTCGCAGACCGTATTATTTGGCGTTGTCCTTGGCTCAACTTACCGGTAATGAGCTACAGCATGTCCCGGCAGGCCGGGATTCAGTTGATTGGCCTGACACACTGTGCGTTCTACTTTCATTTCCGATTCCAGCGCCAGTTCGGCCATGATCAGATTTGCCGGACGGAGGGGATAGAGTACCCAGCTGCATTTTCGGTCCGAGGCACATAGTTAGCTCGGTATCCCCCAAGCACTTCTGTACGATCGGAGGATCTAGAAGTAGACAAGCCAGTGCTACCCCCATTTCAATCTCGGTGTTCTCAGAATCCACTTTCCCACACTGCTCAACTTCGGCTGATGGGTCAGTCTGCTCCTCGGCAACGTCATCCCCGGATAATTACAGGTCAAAGAAGATCTCAAACCCTGGCAAGCGACGCTTCTCCACATTCAACCATGGCTCTAGGAAGCCGCAGAATGGAAAATCCTCCCCCTTCCGGACAAAGCGTCTGTTTAGGGTACCTTGGATGGGTCGGTGCATTAATTTATAAGGCTTCCCTGCCTACTTTGCTCTGGCTCTCCCGGCCATCTCCTTGCCTTTCTTCACCCAGTCCTCTTTGGTGGGTAGATAACCCAAGCCAAAGGTATACGGGTTGTGCAGCACTTCGGCCGATACTGCAATGCCCTTCCGACCACTCTTCCCTAATCCCATCCCGGGGATGTGTTGGAGCTTATTCATAAGGTACATTGACTGTGTGCTAACGTACAACCCCTCATCAACAGCTAAGATGTTCTGTACGACCCGAGCCTTGGCTAGGGTAAATCTGAATTGGAACACATCTTCCGTGCCGTGCTCGATTTCCAAAACCGGTGTAGACACTTCTGGCGGCGGATGGATTGATGAATTCCCAAAAATAATAGCCACCTCCTTCCTGTGGGGGTATTTCAATATCTGATGCAGGGTGAAAGAGACTGCCTTCACCTGGTGCAGCCACGGCCGCCCTAGGAGTAAATTAAAGGTTGCATGAACGTCCAAGACATGAAAATCAATCTTGTGTTGTCTTGGACCAACCTGCGTCTGAATTTTCACAGTCCCCATCACCTCTCTG